AAGAGCCAGGAAACATCGGCTTGTGGCTGTGGCAGAGGGAGGGGCCGTAATCCCTGCAAAATACAGACCCTTCTCCAGAGCCAAGCAGGAAAGGCTCGGCACCCCTGCTTCAGGACCATGCGGAAGGGCAGCCTTGGACTCCAGGGGCCATCCTGTCTCACACCCACACCAGCAGAGCTGTAATAACATTATGTTAAGTCAAAGAAGCCAGACTTAAAAGGCAGGGCACAAATTGTATGGTTTGTAATTTACAGGAGGTAAATTCATAGAGAGAGAAAGCAGATTGGTGGCTGCCAGGGACTGGAGGAAGGGGAGGAATAATAAACAGCTGCTTGCCGGGGATTTAGCTCAGTGGTTCCGGCGCCTGCCTCGAAAGCACAAGGTCCTGAGTTCGATCCCCGGTACCAAAAAAAAAAAAAAAAACCCAAAACACAGCTGCCTAATGGTTATGAATGTTTCCTTCAGGGATGGTGAAAATGTTTTGGAACCAGATAGAAATGATGGTCACAGAGCATTGGGAGTGCAATAAATGTTTAAAATGGTTAATGGCTCAATGTAGGGATGGATAACGAAAACGTAGCACATATATACACCACAGAATACTACTCACCACAAAAAAATAATGATATCCTGCCATTTGCAATGCAGGGAACTGGACATCATCCCACTGAGAGAAACAAGCCAGGCTCAGAAAGACAATACCAACTGGTCTCCCTCCTAATGTGGAATCTATAAAAGTAGATCTCATAGGAGTTGGGAGTAGAATGGAGGTTACAGAGGTAGGAGGGAGTGGGAGAGGTACCAGGCGGGGAAGGCCAATAAATAGATGCTAAGTTACAGCCAGATAGGAGGAAGAAGTTCCGGGCTGCTTCCCCACTGTAGGGTGACTATAGAGAATGATAAGGTACATTATATTTCAAAAAGCAAAAATGAGTATTTTCCCATAAAGAAATGATAAATGTGGGCCGGGGATTTAGCTCCGTGGTTCTGCTGCCTGCCTTGCAAGCACAAGGTCCTGAGTTTGATCCCTGGTACCAAAAAAAAAAAAAATGATAAATGTTGAGAGAGATAGATTTGAACATGGCACAATGTATACATGCATCAAAGCATCACATGGTACCTCATTAACATGTGCAATTTTTACTTTTTTGTGTATGAGTTTTTAAAATGAATTTAAGATGGTTAATTCTATATTATGCAAATTTACCTCTATTTTTTTATAAAGACCTACAGACAACATCCTATTTAATGCTGAGACACTTCCCTGCCCCTCTAAGCCTGAGAACATGAGGAGGGGAAGGGAAGGCGTGCACAGGGTGGCTGCTCAGCCGGGAGAGGGACCACACAAGGGTGAAGGTGACCGTGCTGACCTCCCGCTTTGAGGAAGAAACAACACAGAGAACAAGACTCAGAAATACAATCTGATTCTGAAAAAATTACACCAGACAAAGCACTGGAGCGGGGCTGAGGTTGACGGCCACAGGGAAGAGGGAAGAAGAGGAGAAGCCCTGTCTGCCCACCATCGCCCCCTCCAAGGCCCCGAAAGAGCAAAGAATAGAGACAACAGCACAGAAAGAGGACAAAGCAGAAGGCAGGGCTACTGGACAGGGGAAGTAGCCAGACCTCGGCAGCTCAGAGGAGGCCAGGGGTGCTCTCAGAAGGGGACACAGCCAAGTCCCAAACCCACTGTTCCTCCTTCAGCAGCCCATGCCAGATGACCCATGACAGCCCCATTTGTGCCTGCTCTACCCCCCACATCAGGAGGCCATGGCCTCATTCTCTGAAGAAACCAAAGTATAGACAAACCTCTGACACATGGTGGGTTTAGTTCCAGACCACCGTAATAAAGTGAATATCAAAAGCGAGGTATAGGAATTGCTTGACTTCCCAGTGCACATAAAAGTTATGCTTATACTATACTGTATCTATTAAGTGTGCAATAACATTATATCTAAAAAATGCAACATATATTCTCTAACTAGAAATTGTTGCTAAAAAAATGCTGATGATCATCTGAGCTGTTGGGAAAATGCCACTGATGGAACTTTCCGTGTAAAGTAGCCACAAACCTTCAATTTAAAAAAAGAATGCAGTATCTGCAAAGCACAATACACTGAAGCACAATAAGACAAGGTATTCCCATATTTTGGATCTGGGGGATGTTTGTTACTGTTGCTTGATGTAGCCTTTCCTGACTAATACACGTTGTATAAAGATTTCGCCCAAAAAGACGGTATAACTATATTGGTTAAAGGCAGAAGCTCTAAGCAGGAAAATATATGCATTAAAATCATCTTTACCACAATAGGTAGTCAAGAAAAATGACTGCAGGTGAGGGTTATGCCTCAGTCATAAGCAGTTGCCTTAGCATGCACAAGGCCCTCGGGTTCTCAATCCTTGGCACCACACACACACATCAGTGCCTACATATTTTTCTACAAATATGGAGCTAAGTCCCAGAAGAAACAGCTAGGAAAGCTGGAAGTGGTGAGTGGGAGGGCTAGGAGAAAGGAAAGAGGGGAATGGAATTAACATGAGAAAATGAAAAAATGGAAACAAAGTCTTTGTAAATAGGAAGGCATGGAGGGGTTGAAGGGAGGGCGGGGGAAGGGGGAAAAATAAGAACCAAGAGAGATGATGTAAATCTCCAATGATGAATGTCCTTATATTGTATACCTAAAAATGTACCAGTAAGAAAATGGAAAAAAAGCTGGAAGTGGTAAACTGGGGCGGAGGTGAAGCAGGGATTGTATAGGAAAGTAAAGACAGTGGCCTGCTATTTTGCTGCCAACTTCTAATATATGTATCTGTAGTAATCTGACTAAACAAACATAACTTTGCAAAAGTGAACGGAGACATTGGGCCATGGCAGAGGCAAAGTGGGCAGTGCGACATGGCAGAGCTAGTGGGGGCCTGGTTAGAAGGCTGTGTAAGCAAATCCACGCACAGGCCAGGACGTGGCCTGGAGCCGTGACAGGTGCGGCTGAAAGCTCTAGAGCTGGAAGGCATGGGTCCAAGCTCTGCTTCCACCACTCCTGAGTGTGAACAACAGCCTGTTTCCTCCCTGGCCCTCGGTGGTGACATCGGGGAGTAACGGTGGCTCCCTCAGCACCTTGCAGTACATGAGAGAATGAGGACTGCCTCTGCTACTTCTTAAAAGCTTCAACAAACACAGCCACGCATCACTTAATGACGGAGATGCCTGCTGAGAAGCGGGTCATCCAGTGATTGCTTCATTGTGGGAACATCTCAGAGTGATGACGTAAACCTAGGCTGTATGGGGTGGGGTGTGTGTGTGTGTGTGTGTGTGTGTGTGAATTATATATACATGAGAGAGCCTATGGCTAGAGGGCCATGATGAACAAAACAACACAACATTAAATTAGTCACAGAAAAGATGATGTGACCAACACATGGGGTACACATGAGCTGTATCAGGTCCTTGCCACCATAACAGGACACACTGCATTACAATCAACTCATTCTTCTTATAAATACAAGGAGTACATTCTAAAAAACATATAAAAATATAGTATAGTAAATATATAAATAAGAATCATTTATTGCTTTAAGCTTTCTGTTACCACACACACACAAAAAAAAACCCTGAGATAATCAGCTTATGAAGTCCAAGGGTTTATAATTCATACTTCTGAAGATTTCCATCCATGATTGGTTGGCTCATTGCTTCTGGGCCTATGACAAGACAGCATATCACAGATGACAGGAGCACACGGTGGAGCAAAGCTGCTCACATCATGACCAGGATGCACAGGAGAGAGTGGAAGAAGAAGGCGATGAGGTCCCATAATCCCCTGGGAGGCCATTCCCCCAATGACCTTACTTCCTCCCGCTAGGCCCCACCTCTTAAAGGTTCCATCACTTCCCAACAGTGTCAAGTTGGGGAACAAGCCTTTAACACATCAGCCTTCAGGGTACATTCCAGATCCAAACTATAGGGATCATCTTTCTCAGGTTATTCTGCCCTGTGCATAATTATGTGCAATATTTGTACATGACTGGTGGTAGAATAGATTTTTCACATGGCATGTGGCTGTACTTGAAGAAGCTGCCATGCAGAGTGGGCTCCTAGGGCCACTTGGGTCCCTGGCCCCATCACCAGTGACAGGAAGGGACACCCAGGAATGTGTCACAGAGGACAGAAGACACTGGGGCAGCAGAGGGAAGGGACAGGTGGCTCCCCTGGACAGGATCAACAGGGTCGTAGGAGACACATGTCTACTGTCAGGCCATTTGTCCTCAAGCAATGCTGGTTCTCCTTCCTGTCTTTCTTCTCTAAATACATTTGTCCTCCGAATCTACAGGTGCCACATATATGGATTCAACCAACCACAGACGGGAAAATGTTTTTACTCTAGCAAGTTCCAAAAAGTCACCACATACCAAGCACCATTCTGGGTCCACGGGATGTCATGATGCATGGGCAGACCCCTCTGTCACGCCTCCTGCAGCTCACAGATCCCAAATCCTCTCAGCACTCATCGGCTAAGCATTGTTCACCTCACGACTCACTTTACACTGTGTAATCAGGGTTGCAATGGCTGCATCCACACTGAACGTGTGCACAAGTTCTGCTTGTCGTTTTGTCTATGTGATACAGCTAGTTATTTCCATCGCATTACATTGCCTGAGGTATGAGAAGTCATCCAGAGATGATGTAAAGTGAATGGAAAGATAGCCTAAGTTCTATGCAAATACTATGCCATTTTATATAAAGGCCCCACCCCGGCATCCTAAGATTTTGGTATCTGTGTGGATTCCAGGGAACAAACCCCTACAGATACAAAGGAACAACCATAAGTGTAAATTTGTAAAAGCAGAGAATGATTTTTAAAATTAGTGCATTGATGCTTCTGTTAGAAGGTGAGGGCCCTGCAGGTCTACCTCCTCTCACAGATGCCACTTAGCACATGAGCTGAGACTCCTACACGAAAGGCCAGTCAGGCAAAGCACCAGGGACGGCAACACATCCCACTCACCGGGAATCTCCAGGCACAAGACGCCTCTCACTGGGTCCGCAGGACACTCCGGGACTCAGAGGTGGTTCGCTCCCACGGGAGGCAGCAATGTTTAAATATTCAGAAGACTGTAGGAAAAAAAGCACAAACAGGGCATGAACCAGCCGCGGAAGCAAAGAGCTCATTCATAAAGAGGGGCGACCCACTAAACACAGAGCTTGCAGCCTGTGACCTCAAAACAGGAAGAGGACTCCAAGATTCCCCAGGGCAGGCAAACAATTGGAAAGACACAGTCAAAAGCTGACCACGATTCTCCCCGAGATTTCAAGGGAGCCCTTGTCCGTGCATGCAAAAGTCAGTGACCATAGATAACAAATGTTTTGAGGCTGTGTGCGAGCGGGCTCCGTGCTAAGCACACAGGGAATGTATTGCTCAAACTCTTCTGGAGAAAGGTATGGGAAACCCTGGACATTAATATTTCAGGTTTCATTTGCTCTCACAGGAAATGAGACACATTCATCAAGGCTCTGTTCCTAACCTGTTTCTCTACGGTAGCAAGCTGGTACAGGAGGTGCAGAGCTTAGTGTGGCTGGGGTTATTTGTCTTCATGTCACATGGGGGGGGGTATGGCTCAGTGATAAGAGCGCTTGCCTCACACGCAAGGCCCTGGGTTCAATTCCCAGCACTGTAAACAGTGTTTGCCACAGATGACAGTGGGGAAGAGCCTACCGCAGACACTGAACAAGCCCTCTGCAAAGAAAAGGCCATACTGCAAGCCTTGGGGCCCAGAACAAGCCCCTGGGGGGACACATGGCTCCTGCAGGCGTGGCCTGGGGTCAGCATGGAGCCAGCGACCCCTCCCAGGCCAGTGCAACCCTCATGCCGCCAGCTGAGTCTCTGCACAGAACCAGACTGGGCCGCAACCGTCAGGAAAGCCTAAGCAACCTCCACGCGCCTCTGTTTCCTTCTCTCCGAAAACGACAGCAGCCCTGACACTGTGGCTCGGGCCCCACCTCAGGCACCCTCTCCCAGTTCCTCTCGCCCTCTTCTTCCTCCCAGGCCCAACCCAGAGCTTTCACGTCAACCACCGCCTTATAGGCTGCTCCCCGAGCCGCGTCCTGCAGGCCACCTCCTGAGTGCAGTTACGCCCCTGTCCTCCTGGGCCCACTAGGACACACGGGAGGGTGACAGGTGCTATCCACTCGCAGAACCCGGGCCACCCCATACCCCGCCTGCCCCCCTCCCATGGTATGCAGAGCACTTACAGCCAGGGGCTGTGACAGTGGGAGGGCAGGCGGGCACAGCACTGCATGACACTCCCTGGCTGCCCCACGGCGTGTAAGGGGACTGAGGTCCCAGGCGCAGGCTCTGCCTACAGCTGCAGCCCTGCGCCATCCCACCACAAGGCCCCATGCTGCCTGTGCATCGCTTCTTCTACACTCCTATCTAAGCCATTCCCTTTACTGTTCCCATGGAATTTTCCTGGCAAACTCCTACTCATTCTTCAAAACCCAACTAGGGGAGGCATCCTGAACTGCAGTAATAATCTCACTGTTCTTAGCCCTGTCTTTTTTTTTTTTTTTTACATTCTTATTAGTACACATTTGCAGTACATGAAATGTACCATCACCTTGGGGACTGGATACATCTACATAATGCATCATGTTTCATTTTTTAATCTCTTTCCCTTCCCCCCCTTTCCCCTTTCTCCCTTTTCACTCTTGTAGGAATTATCAATCTTAGCTCACGTTTATGGAATACGATGTTTACATTCACTGAGGTTATTAGGATCCGATACCTGGCAGGCCCTGATTCCACTTACCTGCCTTCCCCGCCTCCCCTCACCTTTGGTCTCCTGGATCCCTTCTCATTTCAGCATCATCCCCGTGGCTCCTCCAGTCCATCCTCTATTATCCTCTTTGTTTGGACTTTGCCTTTAGCCCTGTCTTGCTCCTGCCGCTCTCACAGTTGCTCCTGACCACCTCTCCAGCTCCCGCTAGGGCTCCTGCTCCTCTGGGGCCGGCTTCCTCCCAAGACAGCACAGCCCTGTAGCCTGGAAATTCTCCTGCAAGCCGGCAAACCTGCACAGGCGGCCTCAGCCACAGAGCAGCACTAACGTCAGGAGCTGCAGAGCCTGCAGAAGGTGCTCCATGGTGGGAGGAAGGGCAGATTGGGCAGAAAGGAAGCAGCCACAGACGCAGCTGCTGGAACTGTACAGAGTGCTGATCGCCACACTCAAACTGCTTCTTATCTGATAGGCGGCAGAGTTTCTGACGGTGCAGAAAGTTACCGTCTCCAGGGTGACCTGGAGGAGCAGGGGTCACTGTGAGCGCCCAGATGGGAAGGCAGAGGTCACCCTGTGGGTCACACCTGCAGCGCCCCTAGAGGAGAAGACAGAGGCAGGACCCTCCCGGCATCACCCAAGGGGTAGGGGGCTGATCGGGAGGCCTGCAGAGAAAGCCCCACCACCAACCTCCACCTGTTGCCGAGGCCCCAGCCCTGCGTCCTGAGTAAGAAAAGGCCTGGGCCTGCCCACTGCGCCAGGGGCCACCCACCAGCTCCCAGAGCACAGGCTCCCACATGGCCAACTGCAAAACGACCTTTAGCAGCTCATCCATTAGCTACCACGGTGCCCCCACCTGCAGCGTGTTCCTGAGGCTAAAAGTACAGCCGGCTTCCCAGCCAGGCTTCCTCCACAGAACGTCCAGGGGCAGAGCCGCTGCCCGGAAGGCAGGGAGCCCACGACCCCCACTCACCCTCTGTTCCGCAGCACCGTGGGGCCGGCCCACGAGGGGCAGGGCACAGGCTCTCTGCACACTGCAGTGTCCAGCAGGCAGCCCCCCTGGCTGGGCACACCCATGCCCGGCCCTCCTCCCTGGGCTCAGCCACTGTCCAGGCCTACCCAGGAAAAGCATCCGCACGGAAGAGCAAGACACCCTAGGCACTCACAGAACCCTGCAATCATCAACTGGCACCCGGTGGAGCACGGCTCCCAGCTGCCAGCTGCTGCCCTCCACCCTGATTCTCGACCCAGGAAGAAGTGGGGCGGCAGCAGCTGGGCCCCAGCATCCTAGGCCAGAGCCAGCTTTCTTCTCCTAGTAACTCCTGCAGTGGGCCTCTCATGAGGCATGGTGACCAGCCGGGAATGGCCAAGCCAGGCCTGCCAGGGGAGGCCAGGGCCACTGGGAAGACAGCAGCTGGCCACATTAAGACCTCCACCCACAGACCCTGGCTGGCCTGGGGCCCCTGGACAGCAGAACCAGGGCCAGGTCCTGGAGGTCGGAGCTCCTGGAGGCAGCCTGCCCTTGGAGCCCAGGGCCACTCCATCCTTTCCAACCTGCTGGAGTCACCTCTTGCAGGGAGCTGACTTCACGCTGCATCTGGATCACCCAGGCCTGTCACGAGCCTTGCGTGCTCACAGCAATGGGCAAGTGCTCTGCCCACCGCCTCCTGCAGTCCTCCCTCAGCTAGCGGGAGAGTTCCCACCATGTCCCAGCCCAGACTCCCCCTCAGGTGGCTCAGCAAAGCCATTCTCCAGCTGGTAGCTGAAGACTCTGCGACGGCTTCCAGGGCAAAAGTAAACTCCAGGTGTGGGAAGGCAGCAGTGAGCCTGTACAGACCAGGCGGCCAGGGCCGGCCCTGCAGCCCAGAGGACCCTGCCTGGCGGCTCTGCCCAGCACAGACCCAGCCGGGCTCCGGGCAGCTGAGCAGCACCAGGGCCCTGTTCCTCTGAGCAGCACGTGTTCTCCCGAGTACTCCCGGCTCTGCCAAGTGAGTGTCCACGAGGCCCTCGCGTCCCTCTGCCTTGAGACCCTACGTGGGTGCCCCGGTGCTGGGAACTGGAGAACCGCTCACCTCTGCCCTCGAAGCCCCCTGGATCCACTCACCCTCAGCTGCTTAAGCTGAAACCTTGCAGCCATCCTGGACCCAGCCCTTCCCTTGCTCCCGCACAGCCCACGCTGCCTCTGCCTTCGAAACCCAGACTCCCGGCACTGTCCCTGCCCCCATCAATGCCCTGGGACCGCACCTCCATCCCCTGTCCCCCTAGATGGCCTCAGTAGCTCCTAGCAACTCACTGCTTCCGTGACGCCCTCCTGGTCGCCCAGCCCAAAGGGTTCCTCCTGGCCTCTGAGGCCCAACACATCTGGCAGCCACCCTCTGCTCCCCCACCACATGCCTTCCTTGCTCCTCCCAGAACACACAAGCAGGGGCCACCTCAGGGCCTTGGCACAAGTCACTCTCCAGGACCTCCACATGCTCCCCCCCCCCCTCTGCCAAGTGCGGCATATGTGTTCTCCCTGACCGCCATATGTAAAACCATGGCATCATTCCCCAGCCATCCTTGACCTCCTTCTCTGCTTTAGGTTTCTCCACTGCACTTACCATCCCCTAAAATAAAGCATCTTTTTTCTTTCCAGTACCTAGAATTGAACTCAGGACCTTTCACTTGCCAGGCAAGCACAGCGCTGCTAAGCTACGTCCCCTGCCCCTACAGCATCTTCATTTACCTGGTCACTGCCCACCTCTCCTCACTGCAAACCAAGCTCCATGAGGGCTGGAATCCTGGTCACTGCTCGGGACGCACTCAGGGATGACGGCCTGAGTCTGTGCCCTCGGTGTGCAGACCACGGCCAGACCCTCTCCCAAGGGAGGGGTGCTCTCTACTCACACAGTGACAGTGACAAGACTCCTGCCCTGCAGACCGCCCAGGGGAAGGACACAGCAGCCCTTTGGGATCTCACTGCGGAGAACCCAGAGCTGCAAGGGCTAAGTTCAGCTTTTCATTTTGCAGCTGAGGCTCAGAAGGCAGCACTGTCCGCCAGGCCCACCTGGGCTACAAGCAAGGCCCTCCACACCACACCACAGTCCTGATGCTTCTCAGGGACACACTGCAGTCACGGGCACTGAGCAAGGAGCCCCGGGCTGGAGCAACTGCCTGTCCTCGCAGCCTCAGGATCCCCCCAACCACGCAATCCCTTTGCCTTCCCACCTCCCAGCAGTGTCGACCTTGGGGAGCCCTTGGGAGCAGGGCTGGGTTAACATAACACGTGCCAAAGCCCAGGGCCTGGGCAGAGCTGCATGGGGACACTTGAAAAGCAGCACCGAACATCCCAGGCTGCCCTGGGAC